ACGTCTGGTGACAATATAGTTTAGACATTCAGCTGCTTATCAAAAGGTTTGTGGCTGGACTTCCACCAGCAGCTCTGCAGGAGGAAGACGAGGCAGTCTTGAAAGATTTACAGCCTTGGAAACCTTACGGACAGTTCAGTTCTGTCCTATAGGGTCACTGCACTCAATGGCAATGAGATGAGGAAAGAGGAGGAGAAGATCCATCTTGCCTTTCCTTCATACTATATACAAAATTCAATTCCAAATGGAATTGAGGTTGACGCGAAGAAATGTATCACTAAATTCCCTTGCCCTTGACCTCAAACTGAGTGAGGCCAACAAGCGATATCAATAGGAGATTGAAGGTAGGAGGAAACGCTCTGTGTATTTCTTTCCCAGGCTCCCTCCTTGGCATTTCTTTGATGGTCTGAATCTCTTTTTAATTAAGGCCATAATTTCTATAAAGTTGTGGTTGTTGTTACCCAAATACCTGTAATCAGTTTCGACCCTTTATCTCTTTCCAGAGGTTATGAATCTTTGCGGGAGGAAACTTCTCATCTTTCTCCCTTAAAGCAACTGGTGAATTCAAACTGCCAGCCTTCACCTATCATGCAGTGCACTACACCACAACAGCTCCTGGGTGGCAGCTGTTAGTGGCCCCTTGACTCATGGGAACTCTGTGCACAACAGAAAAAACCTGTCTGGTCCCATACCCTTCCTTTACCCTTAATTGGCTGTGGTCCAAAGGGGGTTTCACTGACTGACTTCTGGAAGATGTCTTTTCTTGCTAGTACATCTCAGTCTGAAAGAACCACTCTTCATCAATGCAACACATAAGCCTCCAATGACAAATGGGCTGTGGCTGCACATATAAAGCATACTCACTGGGATGTGAACCCAAGATTTCAACCACTGAACCACCACTGTCTCCAAATCCTATCCAAACCCTCTCTATAGGAGTCTTTGGGTGGTGCAAATAGTTAAGCATTCAATGACTTGAAGAAAGGTTGGGGGCTTGATACTGTCCAAAAGTGTCTTCTTGGAAGACAGACCAAGAGATGTGCTTTACAAAGATCATGGTCTTGAAAACCCACATGGAACTGTCTATTTACAAGAACCAACACCAGTACCTGCTGCCCCTGAGTCAATTAACTCCTCATCCTTCCTGTGGTTCACATTTCTGCTACCTCTTCTACCCTATCCCTTCCTGTCTGTGGGCTTTCTCCTGGGAAAGTGCTGCCCCTTTGATTTTGTATGATTGACTGTTCTAAGGAGTAAGGATTTACCCTCTAGATATTTATATAAGTTCACCTCTTAGGACTGTCTATTCCTTGGATGAAAGTTGAACAACCAGGGTGAGTTTAGTTCCAGGCTGGAAGGGTGACTAGGGCAACAGTCTTGGTGGTGGCCATTTTTGTAACTTGTTCCATATCTCCACCCCCCCTCCTCCGCCCCCAGTCCAGGATCACTATGTGATCCTTTTCAGAGAGGTAAGCAGTGGTAGCCAGGCATCACCTAGTTCTTCAGGCCTCAGGGTCACAAACGTTGACATCTGCACAGCCCATTTTTCCTGGAGACTGACTGTGTCTATCCATCTTTCCTTTTCTCTTTCCTGTTGCAAGTAGACAGAGAACAATCACGGCATCTTAGATGGTGATATCAATGGATGATTTTTCAGTAGTTGCCAGGTCTTTCTTCTGAGGTACCTCTGGTGTCAGACCTCCAATCTTCTGGTTAGCAGCTAAGCCCATTTAACTCTTTACACCACCTACAGATGTTATTTTTAACACTGTCTGACAAATAGTTTAGTTAAGCATATTTTATATCAGTTAGTCTAGTGAATAAAAAGTGTTGGAATTTTAAAAAGATGTAGCCAGCTTCACGATTTGGCTTGTGGCTTGGAGGAAGCATAGGTACAAATTTCCCTGGTCATCCCGCTACCAGCCACTTCTGCCACGCTGCTCAAGTTTAACCTCAATGAGACCAAAGCCATGTACCTGAGGTGTACCAGTAGGGAAGTTAGTGCAACGTCCACTCTGGCCCCCAAGATCAGCCCGCTGGGTTTATCTCAAATACAAGTTGATGACGGCATTGCCAAGGCCACTGGTAGTGTCTGTAAAGGATGCAGGATTAACATGAAACTGACCAGTCTGAGGTGGTAGTGCCTTCCACCTCTGCTCTGGTCATCAAGACCCTCAAGAAGCCACCCAGTGGCCGAGAGGAGTAGAAAAATCTTAAACACAATGGGAATTTCCCTTTTGATGAGACTATCAGTATTGCTCATCAGATGCAACACAGATCTTAAGCCAGAAAACTCTCAGGACTATTAAAGAGATCCTGGGAACTGCTCGAACCCAGGAGTGAGCTTCAGTGCTGAGGGCCACCACCTTCATGACATCACAGATGACATCCACAGTGGTGCTGTGGAATGTCCAGCTAGGTAAGAAGTGCGGTTGAAAGATGCCACTAAAGGATTGTCTGGTTTAAAAACAAAGTAGCTACCTTACCTTGCCATTCTGACAACTACTTACATCTTTACTTCAAGGAACCCACCATACTTTATATGCAGCAAAAGTGCATTATACATATTTCCCATTTCATCCCACAGGTAAGACAGACTTGCGTTCAAGGGTTCAGATTTAATAAAATCCTTTTTATTTTTCTTGCTTTACTTGTTAAGGTTTTCAAAACTGGCCACTCCATGCATAATCTAAAACTGATCCACCTCTCAAAATGTAAAGAGGGTGAGAAGTTAACATTACAATCCAGTGATTCTTAATTCCCCAGTTTCTCCCTACCTTACTGTCATCAACCCTCTACATCATCAAAACCTCTATGCAGGCTTTGATCCAATGGTTCCCATCTGTCTTTGCATGCCCAGACTCTGAAATCACTGAACTAACCTCAAGAGCCCCTTCAACTTGCTGGATGTTAAAAAAAAAAAAAGAAAAAGGGTATTTTCTTTTTCTGTCTGCTGTGTGCCAGACACTACACTAGGACTAAAATAAACAGTAAGCAACATCTCCCTGCATTCACAGACCTAACAACCATTTTAGATCCATTTAGTGATCCAGAAAACTCATAGACATAAAACATGGTGTTTTTATACGCTCTGCCACGCAACCTCAACTGGATAGTCAGCCCTCCTCCTTGGCCTCTTCTATTTTCCAAAGCTCTTCCACTCTCCTCAAGCCATCTTCCCAGCCCTAATGCCTCTAGCTTTCTTTGCAAGCGAATTCACAGAGCTAAGGAGATAAACAGATGGTAGAGACCATCAGATTTGAAATTGTTCTGTCAAAGGTCATACAAGAACTTTTCATTTTCACATTTTCTCAAAGCTAGCTCCTTCCAAAGACACTGATGGTAAATGAGTAAATGCTCAGCTGCTAAGAAAGAGGTTTGTCTCCCACACCCACATCAGAGGGTAAGTACACCTGATGATCCGTTTCCACATAGATCATAGCCCAGGACATCCGATGGGCAAGTTCTACTGTTATACAAGGCTGCTCAGAGTCAGAATTTACTGGAGGCCACACGACAGCATCTCCCTCCTAGATTCCAGATCACATGGTAGCTCCTCAAGGAGGCCTGGGCAAAGCCAACTGACTTACTCTATGCAGCAGCCCTGCTTCACTTCCTACAAAACAAATCACTCACTCTCTTAAGTTCTCCAACTTATGTTTCCTCATCTTGATCATAATAGGAGGGACCTCATGACAGCACAGCTTCACATTAACCCAATCCTAGGTCCTAGAACACAGTAACTCACTCAATGCTGTTGGGTCAAACTGACTCATAAGTATCCTCTATTGGGTTTCTGAGACTACAAAGTACATGAGAAAACACTGCCCATCTTTCTCCTGTAATGGATTTGAAATGGCAGAGAAGCGTCACTTTTGGGCTAGCAGTGGCCCTATGAACTAGGCCATCAGAGCTCCCTAGAAGAGAGAAAATGCTCAGTAAATATTTGTAGAGATACTCTGTTGCTGTGAAGGAACTCTGGTGGTGTAGTGTGTTACATATTGCCATGTGAAAAAAAAGGTCAGTGGTTTGACTCCACTAGCTGTTCTACCACAGAAAAATGGGCAATCTCCTCCTGTAAAGGTTTATAGGCTTGAAAGCAAACAGAGGGTCACGAAGAGTTGTGCTGTAATCAGCTCCACAGCAGTGGGTTTGGTGGTTACTATTCTTCCAAGTCGGCTGTCTCAGCAACCTTAAGTATAATAGCACTCTGTGGCACGCTCCATCCACAAAAGTCAACTGCCCCTTTTCAAATCCACAGTTATCAGTCCCTCAACTTTTATCTCTACTTCTTTTCATTCAAAGTCATTCCACCTTTGTCTATTATCCCCTCAAAACTCCTTTACTCCTCTAGATTTGTCCCCCAGTATCTTTCTTGTACCTTTCCTCTCTACCTGATATCACATTATTTTTGCATTCTATACGTTCACGTTCAGTGACACCATCACGACTTGTCGGCTGGTAACCACAGGAAAACCTCAAGTTTCAATCTCACCCTTAACTGTTTCCTCTTAAAAAACTCCGCATTCATCTTTCCCATTTCCTTGTACCCTAGGAGACTTAACTACTTTCTTTGCAATCAAATCTCTAAACTCACAGCCCTTTCCTTGGCATTTATCAACTTGCTGTCTGCATCTTATTACAATGCTCCCTTTTCCTTTCAGCCCATCTTCTTTTTTTTTTTTAATTAATTTTTTTCAGCCCATTCTTATTGTCTTATAGTCTTTCTCCCATTACATTCCTGCAGACTTCCATAAATCTCCAAGTATCATTTTATTATACCTATTTTGCTGATTGGATTATTTAAAATAAAGTGTTACGGTTTAAAGCAAAGTAAGACTTGGGTATTCGGGACTCAATCCTTATATCTTTAACAAAACAGCAATGTTAAACAGACCGTGTGAGTGTTCTGTGTTCTCATTTGATTATAATATAATTATGCATAATTAACATTACTTCTGAATCACCACTTCACATGACCAGTTGGGAGGACTACTTACATAGATAAGTCCCGAATAGTAGCGATCCTTCAGATTATGTAAAACAGAAGCTTCATTCAAGCATGTCAATTCGGCCATATCTTCCACCTTAGAAAACTTTGGTGGGTTCATCTTCTGAATATCATCTTTGTTGACCATTGCTTTCTTTCCATTCTCAGCCAGCTCAACCATAACTTCATCTCCCCGCTCTTCTTTGATACTAGCTGCCTCAAAGCCATGGCGTTCTGATGGAATCCAAACTAACTTTTTAGCCGTCCAATCAGCTTGAGTGGCAGGGTTGTAGATAACAGCCCTATCCACAAAGAGATATCTCTCTGGATCTTCGAGTCCAGTTCTTTGCGCCATTGTAAGCAGAAGGCTCTAACAGCAAGCACCTCTAAAAAAAGAGAAGGAAAAAATATTAGATATCTAAAAGCATAAAAAAATCCAAAAGTTTTTGTTTTCTAAAAACTTAAATTATTTTAACGTCTAAAACTATAAAAAAAACTCTATAGTAAAGATCTAGAGTATTCTCATAGCTACACCAAGAGAACTTCCAAGGTAAATCAGGTGTGGACTGGTTGTCTGATGACCACTCAAAACTGTCCTCAGTTACTGAGGGCTGAAAAATAAGCAGAAGGAAAAAGAAAGTCCAGGATATAAAAGTAAGAGTACAGTTTATTAGTGCGGTTTTCATCTCTTCTTACACCCTCCACCACAAAGAGTTAAGAAGGGAAAGGGAAAAGAAAAAAGATTTTTTTTTTTTTTTTTTTTTTTTTTAAGAAAAAAGATTTATAACAAAATCATGGTGTGGTACAAGAATACAGCTATTTAATCAGATTAAGACTGCTCAGAAGAGCAAAGAAATAAGTGCCTTTGATCATACAAGACATCCAAGTTCTTCCCCAATGAAAGCCTCAAATCAGTCCCTTGTAGCTTTCTCTACAGTCCCCTGTGGTCTTTATGTGATCAAATGGAGCCATAGAAGGCAAGTGTGGTTTCACTGCAACGCAAAAGCCTTTCAAGCTCATGACAGGCGCTAGCCTGGCCATCCAGGTCTCCATTCCTGCAGCTGCTCCTACTCCCTCGGTCTCCTCTTCAGCCTAGCACTCCATCATTCATCATTGTTCATTACATCACCTAGTGTGCTGTCCTTTTAGAATGTGTGGTTCAGGAGCCAACAGGGTATTTTCTAAATAGTCTGACCCGTGCAGAAAAGAAGCTATTGGTTAACCTTCAGCTACATCAAGTCAAGAAAAGACTGTTCCTGTGCCTTTTACTATTAACATATTCTCAAGACCCAATTAGTTTATTCAGCCCTCTCTGGGGGCATTGGTGACTCAATGGTAGAACGCTCACCTTTCACACAGAAGGCCAGGGCTCGATTCCTAGCTAATGTATCTTTTGGCTACTACCTAACTGTAAGCAGGGGCTTGGATGTTGCTATGATATTGAATAGGCTTCAATGGAGATTCCAGACTGAGAGAGATAAGCAAGAAAGGACTGGGAACCTACGTGTACAAAATGAGCCAATGAAAAATCCAAGGATCACAACACTCTAACTTGTTAGGGGCTCAGGGCTGACTTGATAGCAGTAAACAGTAATAACAGCAGTAGCAACAGCATTTACTCTTAGCTGATAAGGAGCGATTGGCTTTAAGTTCTATATATGCTGCACCTAAGCTACCTCTCCTCAGATACTTGTGCTTTTGGGATCAAATGACAGGATTTTATATTCACCACTCATCTTCCTGATATGACTCATCTTTCTGGGCACAGCATTAACATCAGCGCAAGAGAGGAAGACCCTCGATGAGATGGATCAATTCAGTGACTGGGGTAATGGGAGTAGGTGTGTCAAAGACAGTGAGGCTGGCACAGGATAGAGCAGGGTTTAGGGCTCTTGTACGTAGGGTTGCTTTGAGTCAGCAAGCAACTTGAAGGCACATAATAACAACAACATTAAAAAATCCAGGGTATTACAAAGTTTCATAAAAATTTTCCATTACTTCATCCGAACCAAGCAAGGAGGCAGCTAAGTACCTACTCTCCTTTATCAAGTCCCCCTAGAACCATCTCCACAAGGCTGGGGGTCCTTGTAAATAAGAAGTCAGAAAGTAATAATAAAATAGTTCAAAGTTGCTAAACCCTTAACCTTGAGTCCAGAGATGAATTTCAATCTCCTTAAAATGCTTTGTGTCTACACATGCCGTTATGTTGTTCTTGTTATAGATAACATCAAGGCAGAATCAACTCATAGCTGACCCTCTAGTACATTTTCAGAGATAATAAACTGGACAGGAGGAGACTGTCCATCTTTCCCCTGCAGAGCAGCTGGTGGGTTCAAACCATGTCTTTAGGTTGGCAGCATAACTCCTTAGCACCAGGCAACCAGAGCTCTCCCTACACATGCATATATCCTAAGCCAACCTCACCATCTTTGACATACCTGCACTGCCAATCCATCTAATCCAGGGTCTTTCTCTACTGAGCCGACCTGGGTCTTTCTCTACTGAGCCGACCTTCTATCCTTCCATGCATGATGTCCTTTGCCAAGGACATGCCCAAAGTATGAGAGATGGAGCAAAGAATACTTTTGTTGTTACATCCTGTTGGGTCATTTGTGACTCACAGTGACCCTATGTACAAAAGCTCTGAACTCTGCTCTATCTTGAGCCAATTTCACTGTCTCAAACATACCTACTCCCATTATCCCAGTCACTGAGTCACTCCATCTCATCTGGGATCTTCCTCACTTGCACTGTCCCCTCCACCTTTCCAAGCTTGATGTCCTTCTCCAAGGACTGGTCCCTGTTGGCAACATGCCCAAAGTATGTGAGACAGAGCTTCAAAATCTTTGCCTCCAAGGAGCATCCTGGTTTCAACCTTTCTGGGACAGACTTGTCAATTCAATACTCTTCTCCAGCACCACAACTCAAAGCCATCGATTCTTCTTCTATCATGCTATCTTTAAATTCTCAAAGGGATATGTGTCCTAAAATGTTAATCTGCTAGTGGATATCTACATCAGCCCTTTAATCTTTAAGAATCATTTACTGGAATCAAATAGCTAATACTAAGTCAAGCAACCAGTGGCTCTGGAGTCTAAACCAATTTGTGGTAACCTACGTATGTCAAAGCGAGCTGTGTGCCACAGAGTCTAAATGACAGGTTTTTCTAAAACAGCCTGCTAAACTTTTCTTCAGGGATATCTGTAGGTATAGTCAGAAACCCTAACCCTTCCTTTAACAGCCTAGTGCTTCACCATTTGTACCACTCAGGAATTCCAAATAATCTCCAGAAATTATATGCTACAATGTAATGCATTGTAAACACCCACGCTTTACCATTTTTAAACCTCAACAGGCACTGTAATCACCTGGTGATTGAAGACCTACAAGGCTTTTATAATAGATTGCTAGACCCCCATCTCCAGAGTTTCTTATTCAGTGGGTGGATGAGAAATGTATTCAGCGGGTAGACCCAAGAATCTGCCCATTCGGGTACATCCCAGATGATGGTGATGCACTGGGTCTGGAGCCACACTCAGTCACTGAACTATAGTTCTCTGGTTGCTACATTACTAAGAGGCATGATGGGATAAACAAGAACGATGAAATCCAACAATCTAGAAATCCTAACATTATTTAACACTATGTTAATGTTTTAAGTGCTATGGACATAAATGAAACAAAAATCACAAATTAAAGCAATGAAAAACAAATTATCACAAAATTGAACATTAAGGCTTTTACAAATCAAAGCATATGCTAACATATTTTATAGCTAAAGTTGAGTTTGCCTTCTTAAGCACCTGCTCAGAAACAGACAATTCCTAATCCTGAGGAATGGTTTCCAATGCCCATTATTTTTTTTTTATGCCCATTATTTTTAGGAAATACACTAATAAATTACTAACAAGTTTTTAGTATCTCCAATTTGTACACTCTACCCTGCTAATAAAAAAAGACAGTTCTGAGTGGGAATCATGTTGGTTGATTTTGGAGACGAACAAGACATACATTCTGGTTTAAGAAGGTCAATCAATGGGAAGAGTGCTAGTACATAGAGGGTATTGCAACTAACACCACAAAAGAAAATGTGTGTAAATTGCTGAATGGGAAACTAATTTACTCTATAAACTTTCACCCAAACGATTAAAGTTTTAAAAATAATTAGGGGGAAGAGTGTCTACTGAAAGAGAAAATATCAATTACAATTATATCATGATAAAACATTATTCTTATAACTCTTTTTAGGTATAAAATACAGGATAGGAAAAGATTATTTCTAACGTGTTTTTTTTTTTAAACTTTAGAAAGTTTTTCACAACCAGCTGACACATACATGTTTCTTTAATTTTACACTGGGCAGGTAATTACATGCTTATATTTAGTTTGCAACTATGAATTAGGGTGAATTAACAACTCATTTCCAAGGCAGGCCTTCTTTTCAATCTTAAATTCTCTATTTTAATGTCATTTTCATCAAACTGGCAGATTTTAAATTATCCAATCCTCTCTCTAGCTATTAAATTTAAATCTCAATGGGAAGATGCTTATAATTTTACAATAAAAAATCTTATCACAAAATTACAAACTGCTCCCCATTTAGTGAAGAGAAATTTTATACACATGACTTTAAAGTGCTCAGTATATTAGCAATTGTACCAATGATTGCTAATGTAGCTGTTGTTGTTATGTGACGACAAGTCACCTGCAACCCATAGGGACCCTAAATATAGCAGCTCTGAAGCCTGCCCTATCTATCCTGAGCTAGTCTCACTAATTCCAACACACCAATCCCCAACCCCCATTGCCTCAGTTACTGTATCAATCCATCTTATCTGGGATCTTCCTTTCCTGCACTATCCCTCCACCCTTCCAAGCATGATGTCCTTCTCCAAGGACCAGTCTCTCCTAGCCACATACACAAAGTATGTGAGATAGAGCTTCAAAATCCTAGCCTCCAAGGAGAAACTTGGTTTCACCCTGGCCAAACAGACCAGTTTGTTTTCTTGGCAGTTCAAGACTCCTCCAGCACAATTTGAAGGCATAGATTCTTCTTCTGTCATCCTTAGTCAATGTCCAGCTCTCTGATGTATAGCAAGAAACTACAAAGAGCATGGCATGGATAAGGCTCACCTTAGTCTCTCGTCTGACATCATTGCTTTTCTCTCTGGAGAGGTCCCTGACAGCAGATTTTCCCAGTACAATTCATCTTTTCATTTCCTGACTGCATTATAAATTACTTTTCTATATTTTTCTACAATGAAACACTGTAAGCACAGTTCTCATTACTTTTCTCAACTTTCTGAAACTTGATGAAACACTGTGAGGACAGTTTCCGCCCTGTACCCAGAGCATGGGCATGAGATGATCTAGACTATTATTACAGGAGTGGTCCCGGGCCTGTGGAGTGAGCTTCAGCCTCTCCTCCACATTCCAAAATCTACAGTTCCTTCTAATTCTGACCTAAATTTTTAGCATGTTATATACTATCATTCCTACGGTCTTCTTGCCCTACCTTGCACTGTGCTTAACAGATAACTGTTGTTGTTGTATACCATATGGCTGGGATCAACCGATAGCTGACCCTCTGGTGGTTTTTCAGAAGCGGTTAATCCTGCTGGAGGAGACTTTCCGTCTTTCTCCAGTGGGGCTGCAGGTGGCCGTGAACTGCCTGTCTTAGGGCTTGCAAGCACAGCTTCTTGCCACGAGGCCACCTGAGCTCCACAGTAAACAGTAGCATCTCAAATAGTCTAATTAATGGACTACATGAAGTCAGTGAAGATCATTTTGTTAATTTTAACTCCTAACTTGTGACTACCATATGTTTGGGTGTTTTGTTTTTGGGTGGCTTTTTTTTTTTTTTCCAATTTATTGTGTATTTGGTCCTTGATCTGGATAATAGTGGTGTTTAAAAATGTACCATTCCAAAATGCTGTCTTGATGAAAGGAGAATAATAAAACATAAAAATTAAATAGTATTGTTATTGTAAGGGAATTCTGGTGGCCTAGTGGTTGGTATGAAGCTGTGCTGCGAATCTAAAAGCACATGGTTTAAATCTAATTGCTTATCCAAGGTAGAAAGATGGACAATCTCCTCTACTGCAATTTGCTGCCTCTGAAAACCTGCTGGAGGGTCAGCTATGGGTCAGTTCCAACTTGGTGGTACCTAACAACATCATAGTAACATTGTTATTCTATACAGCCAACTATGACCAGGCACTATCCTAAGCAGTTTACATATATGTCATCTCTTAATACTCACAGGGTCTTATGAGGTAGGTACTATTAATATCTCCATTTTGAAGAGGGAGAATCTGAGGCACAAAGCCAATAAATGGCCTAAGGTTACAAACCTAACTAGTAGTACAGCTAGGATTAAATCTGAATACCAGCTGTAATGGTGGGAGGGTGAGAGGGAGAGAATTCTGGAGGATAGGCATTGTTCTTAGGTGCCCTCATGTTGACTAGGGCTCAAAACGATGCTATAAACAACAGATGTGAACCTTGCCCTGACCTGTACTACCTCTGTCGTGCTCAAGTCCATGGTAGGATATACAAGTCCATGGTTGGATATACCACAGACTGCCTCTCTACTAAATAAAACCCTATCAATTGTGACTAAAGAAGATAAGCTTGGCCAATGATCACCATGTTTGAATATACCAGTACTATCTGGCAGAGGCTATTTCCTTTTTAAAAAAAACCCTAAACTTAGGGGGGAAAGGAATACATATGAAACTTTGTAATAAACATAAAGATCATCTGAATGTTCTTGATCTACTTGAAGTACCTAATCATACTAAACACATTTAAAGTATGAATTAACCAAGCTCTCATCCCATTCATTGAGGTTAAACATGCACATATCTCCCCCACTGAGAGGCTCAGTCCCTCTCCAGGCCATTTGTTAAATTCAAAATTTCTCAACTGTCTCCTAGTACCTTCTGTCGTTATAGCTATAAGGAAACTACATATATACACATTTGTGTGTATGTATGTATGATGCATATAAAAGATGAATAAATTATCCACAATAGAGCATCCTTTAAAGATGGATAAACTACAACAGAATCACCCAATCTGTGTAACAGCACAATTGAGATCATTTACATTACAGAGGTGTCAAGCCTATTAATCTCTCAAAATTCTTTATCAAATGATCACCAATACAACTCAAATGCAAAAGAAAACTTTTGGTATTTATGGCCCCACAACTCAGACCTTCACACTTGTGCTAAAATATAGTCAAAACTGAACCCAACATAACTAAGAATTTTAATTCTTCTTATGAGACAAGAAAATACACAAACGGCTGAGGCACAGTCTCTTACATGTCCTTCAAATTTTCCTCCATCTCACCTTCCAACCAGCCTCTCTCCATTGGAATGATCTCCCTCAGGAGTCCAAATAAAAAGCCCAGTACTCCCAGGTCACATCCCTTTGCTACAAAGGCTCGTGCTGTATTGCACAACTACACCATATGCTTTCTCCAGATAAGGAGAGGGGAGAACCGAATTTAAGAGGCAGAAGTAAGAGATGCATAAAATGGCCACTTTTCCAGAATCTGAGGCAGGGGCATACTTAAACATGAAAAGCAGGGGTCTAAAGAAATCATTAATGAAGGCACATGCATACAGGGGACAAAAACAATAAATAGATTACGGTTTTCCAGAGTGAAATACTATAAAAAATAATTAAGCTTGACTCAAAGAATTCCTCAGTTTCAACTGAGGCGGGTTGGGGAGGGAAATCTCAGTGATGTCAAAGTATTATATTTAGTATTTTATTATTCCGCGAAAACAGCAGTCTTTGTTTCATTTGCAGTCTGGGTCTACCCCGCCTGCTTTCCCTACCCCACCCTGGCCCACCCCACCCCCTTCCATCCACCGCAGTGATCTTGAAAGGAGCTGCAGACGCCCTAAAGAACAGAGATAACGGTCACAGGGGCCACATTACCCGAGGCTCACAGCCGCGACTTGGACGCGCGGTATTGCACACCTCCGGCCGAAGGCCCCAGGTCCCTGGGAGGCCTAGGCTGGAAACCTCCCCTGTCCCGGGGTCGCCTCCGCCCACCGCAGGCCCACAAAGCTCCCGCCAAGTCGGCCTCTTCAACTTCCCTCAAACCCCGTTCCAGTCCTATTTTATCTTATTTGGGGTCAGGGTGTGACACCAAGTGCAGAAGGCAAGGAAGAGACTGCGGCGAGTCAGTCCCCGACCACTCACACAATAAAAGCTCAGGGGCGAGGCTGGCCCTCC